ATTTCCCCAGAGTCTGGACCAAAGGGTGAATGCCAGAATTCAAGATGGTGTCCCATTAGGGTCTAGAAGTAGAGTCCAAAGCCCAAGAATGTGAACCCACGTTCAACAATGTCTGGTCTGGATCTTCAAAGGTAAGAGGCCAACACAACAAGTGTCCCATAGAATATCCTGGAATGTCTACCATGTCTGAAGGAAACTGAGAAAAGTGACAACCCAAATTCTGCTTCAGGGAAATAGGAATCCATTATACACTTGGACATAATGAGCACTTTTGGACGTGACTTGTGACCCCTTCAGGCCCAGCCACATGAAAACTGTTGGCCAGAAAGATTGGGGATCGAAGAGCCCCTCTCTTCTGAATCAAGATTCACATTTTTTATTTCTCCCATCCCTCTCCCCTGCTCAGGGCATTTCCATTGACTCCTCTCTGAGGTGCGGTCCTCCACTGCCCTGAGCTCTCCCCACAGAAGTGACCTGGTTCTGGGAGGCTGCTCCCTCATCCCCCAGCTCTGGGCCATCAGGGCTTACCTGAAGCTCACCCTTGCCTGGGGTCTGCTGCGTGGTAGGTAGGCTCTAGACTTCTGATGACTAAGGCCACTGTGGCCTCTAGCGTTGCTCTCTCTGTAGGGGCCTGGCTGCTTGGTGTGTGCCCAGGCTCCTTGCCCCCTTGACCTTGACCTCCTACTTCCTTCCCCTCTGCCTCCTTTTTATTGCAGTATTGGGGATGGAACCCAGGGACTCACGAATGCCAGGCAAGTGCTCTACCACTAAGCGCACCCGGTCCTCCTGCTGCCTCTTAAAATCCAGGTAGCCCTTGCTCATCAGGTCACAGCTGAGGTGTCCCTTCTTGGGAGGTTGCTTCTTCTCAGCCCAGCCTGAAATGGCCACTCCGTGGTGAGCTTCCCTCCCTCCCGGACAAGTTCATGATTACCTCCTTGAACAAAACGTCACCTGTACAGCCTGTCTTCCCACCAGACTGCCCACTCATTGGGGCCAAGCACCAGGGATGTCTCTATCCCTGTTCTCCCAGAACAGAGGCGAAGAAAAATCCTAGTATCCATGGGTTGATCAGCTTCTTGCCCTAGCCCTGAAGCCAGCCTTTGACACTAAGATGGTTCAGTTCGGTTGACTGTAAAAATTAAGATCAATTAATTGTATTAATTGCATTAATTAAATAGTATTAATCAGACACTTTGAAGCCAGGACCCACGTGGATAAGTTTGCCACGGCTGCTATAACAAAGAACCCCAGACAGGGGGTTTAAGCAACACACATTTATTGTCTCACAGTTCTGGAGATCAGAAGTCTGAGATCAAGTCTGGATCAAGGTTGGATCCTCCTGAGGCTGTGAGGGGGAATCTCTGAACCACGTTCCCCCCTGGCTTCTGGTGATCTTAGTGTTCCTTGGCTTGTAGACACATCACACACATCTCTGCCTTCACCTTTGCATATTTTCCTATGACCCTCTGTGCCGCGATTTCCCCTTTTCATAAGGACACTAGTCAAATTGGATTCGGGCTTACCCTAATGACCTCCTCTCAACTGAATCATCAGCAAAGATCTTATTTCCAGACAAGATCACATTCACAGGTACTGGGGGTTAGGACTTCAACATCTCTGGGGGGGGACTCAAATCAATCTATAAATCAGTCTTCTGGTAAAGAAAAAAGAAAAAAGAGCTTAAAATTGACATGAAATCCAGGCATGGTGGCGCACATCTGTAACCCCAGCATCCTGGGAGACTGAGGCAAGAAGACTGAAAGTTTGAAGCCAGACTTAGGGAGACCCTGTCTCAAGAAATAGAAAGGGCTGGGGCTGTAGCTCGGGTGGTAGAGCGCCCCTGGCTTGGGTTCAATCCCTAGTATGGCAAAAAAAAAAAAAAAAAAGAAAATTGACATGAAACACAATAACCATTTAATGTATTACCCAAACTGGGACTTTTTTTTGAGAGTGAAAGGGAACACTGTTAAAATTTTTGCACGCAAAATGTTTGACCACAGGCATAAGCCAGGGCTGTTCCAGCAAGCAATGAGGACATACAGCCACCCTCTCTCCATCAGGGCACTCCGTCCTCGGCCTTTCCCGTGAAGGATGCGGTTTTACCTTTGCTGCAGATCCGCCTTTGTTTGTGTTCCTCAGCCAGCCCGCCCAGTCTGTTTTATACACAGTCACAGCGCGACTGGGGGATTAGCTGTATTCCGGCTGTACTTAATTCACTGTTTCCGCTTACCAAGCACAAGTCCCATCTTAGCAATTAATTTGGCCAGATCAAATCAGGTCCTCTTTACACCTGTTCCTCGGCTTAATTAGGTTCTGATCTCCTGGGGATAGTTGGAAGCTCCCAGGGCCATGACCTAAGACTTGGATGAGGAGAGCTCTATCAGACACCCGGCCGTGGCCCCGGCACACAGGTGACATACCTGAAACAGCCCCAGCTCTTCTGTCTAGAAATTTGTCTGGACAACTGTGGTCCCCCAAACCTGGACTGGGATAATGGTGCCCTTTTCTGTTATACACGTCCTTTCATCTCCTCCCAAGGGGAGGAGATGTTCTCAGCCAGGTTTCTTTCTGAAGTAATTGTTGGGCAGGAGTCAGTGGCTAATCCTGCCCATCTAATTAGCAGAGTCTGTTATGATTTATCAGGATAATGAGGTGGGGAACAAAGACTTTGCTTCCTCGCCCCCCCCCTTTCCAGATACATTGGCTTCTTCTCTTCCTTTTGGAAGATGACCCAACGTTAATGAGAGAGAGTCACTTATTGTTGGGGTGCAAATAGAGAGATAAATGACATCAGTAATTAAGTTGCAGGCCCTCTTGGGTATAAATGAAGCCATTTGTCAGGCAATATTATTCAATTAATTAATTCCATTAGGGCTACCACACTCCTCCAAATCCAGCCTTTCGGCTGGCAGCTCTAATAATTTGTATGATATAAAAATAGAACGGTGAGTCAAGGCATTGTGAAGCCAAAAGGAACGCATTTCCACCACCCCAGGAAGCCTAACTGGGAGGCTGATTTGTGAATGTGTGAAGTGCCCAAGGCAGCCCTGAACCTCTTCCCATGGAGGTGTGAACAAATGTCCGGTCTATTCCCCAGTTCAAATCTTTAGGAAGAAAAAGGGGGTTGGTCCAGTCCATCTTGCCACACGATCTCAGTGGTCACTGGCAAGGCCTGTCAGCTGCCCATCTGTGGTCAAGGACTCCTAGGACTTGGAATGGAACGGAGGGGTACCGTGAGCGGAGTGGCGGCCACCTACCACGTGGCCAGTGCTCCTCTGCTTTCTTTTCTCCCTGTTGCCAATGTCAGAGGAGAATCCTGACCTGGTCCCTGCCTGGCTCCCTCTCCCTCAAGTTCCCTCGGTCTCCCTTGGTGCTGATGTGAATAGATACACCCACATTCTCTCTAATTCTCTTTCTCCATTTCTACTCCTGCCGACTTGTCTCAGAATTCTTTACGTCCTGCCCTCCAGTGGGAAATTCACCTTCCAGAAGAGGAGGAAACAGCCCAGGACCACATTTGAGAAAAGGCTGCCTGAAAGGATCCGGATCATGACCTTCTGAAAAGAAAGGCCACAGACTCCTTCAGACCCTCAGCAGCCCCCACAGGCCCCCTCGCTCACCCCAGTCAACCTCTGCGTTGACAGCGGCCATCAGCAAATACTATCTCTGTGCTGTATTGATTTTATTCTGCTTTGATCAGTCGCTAATACTCCAGGAGCACTGTGACCTGCTTTTTTCACTGAGACACAACAGTACTTCAGCTAAATTCAAGATTAAATATACCCCTGCACGCTCGCTCGTTCCTCAGAAAACAACTCACATCCCCAACAGCTGACTTCCCCAAGTCCAGAACATGATGTGTTTGTAAGCAGGGTAGCTGCCTGCCTCTTTTCTCGCCTCCCAGCTAATCAAGTCATCTTTGATTTCCCAGCCCATTCTGTGGAAGAGAATGTGAATCCACAGTGAAGGTTCCAAAGCCTGCAGGCCCAGTTGAGAAGGAAAGGGACCAGGTCAGTGGTTCTCACACTCCTACCAGCTTCAGAATGGCCTAGAACTGTCAAAACAGACTGACAAAGATCTGGGATAGGACCCCCCCAAATTGGCATCTGTAGCCTCCCTCCAGGTAGAAGTGGCTTTAGAAAAAGATGGTCTTACTCAGGTAAGAACCACTGACCTATTATCCAGTACAAAGAATTCCCAGAGGTAACTAGGTACTCGGAATCCTGAGCATCCAGCCACATCCCAGCTGGTGATGCAGAGCCCCCCCTCCCTGAGATGGATCACAAGAGAAGCAGAACAGCACTCCCCACACACACTTCTCCTCTATATTTCCCTGCAGGCAGAGACCAGGGCCTAGGCTGGAATTCACAGTTTCTTACCAGTACCTCACTTCAGCTTATTGTTAGACCTAAAAAAAAAAAAAAAAAAAGTGCAGGCAACCTACAAGATTGAATGATTGTGAAGATGTTTGTTTGGTTTGGTTTTCTGGTTTTTGCTGATGTTTCACACATCCAAAGGTATTCCCCATGCTTGACAAAGCTTGGGAATCACTTACTGTTTTTATGGGAGTCTCAGATACTCATAATGCTGGACACAAGCTGGATAAGAACCTGGCCATTCTAAATGCTGGGATGCCTACGGCCATCTGGTCCAGAGCTTTCCAAATTTCTCTTTGCATCCCAGTCACAGAAAATGACAACCCACATTCAAATTCAAACCTTGATTCTAGCCTATCAGGCTCACGTCTTAGCTGCACTCTCTCAGAAGGGAACAAACAAGGCTTTTGTAAGGGAAGGTGGATTGGGGAGAGCAATCCCAGAAGACTGGAGGAAATAAAGCCAGGGAAAAGAGAAGGCGGTGAAGGGCTCCATCTCCTCTGTGACCTTGAGCAAGTTGTGAGGAAGATGCTCAGAAGTCCCAGTGTGAGGAGAGAAAAGGGAAGCATCCACCCTACACTCTCATTTCTGGGACCAGGGTTGCCTCGTGGGTGTTGGACTCACATTTCCAGATAGCACATACTCCAATACCAGGAAACCATCTCAGAGAAGCCCAGAGGAGAATGGGAGCATGTGGAGGTGACACACCTGCTCGGAGCTGGCTGCCCCGAGGTGGAAGGTGGGCCAGAGGTGAGAGATGCACACCAACACTGTCCCACATGGTATCTTATGAAAAAGAAGAAACTGGGAGTCAATAACATTTTTTATTTTATTGAGTAATTATAAATTTCATGTTAGCTATAATCTTTGAGTCAAAATATCTTAAAACCTAGCCTGATGTGAGCATTAACATCAAGTTTCAGAAGTGTGTCTAACATCAAAAACCTTACAATGTGCCTATGTGCCCCATTTCTGAAGCCTGTACCTTTGCCCACAAGATCTAGGAAACAGTGACTCAGCAATGAATTTCATGACAACCATTTCAAAGTCACCAGATACAGGGAGGAATTCAATAAAAGAGTTGTTTGGGCCAGGCATGGTGGTTGTGTGGCCGTCATCACAAAGACTGGGGAGGCTGAGGCAGGAGGAACCCAAGTTGGAGGCCAGACTCTCAAAAAAAAATAAAAAGAACTGGGCCCATAAAATCAAAAGTTACTTTCATTACATGACATCTGAAATCCTTACCTTCTGTGTTTAAAACACCAACTAGCTGCTATTGGTATTACTTATTTGTATTACTGCTATTTGTATTACAACCATTTGTTTTCTATAAGGGAAAATCAAAATAAGTCACTGTGCTTTCCTTCTCTGGGCTCCTAATGTCCAAAGGTAACATTGGAGGGACAGACTGCGAGGAGAGCAAAGGCCATCTTCAGATAAAGCAAAGATGGTCATGAGGCCATGTACTCAGTTCTCCACGTGAATCCCAACATCTGCATTGCTTATGTGCCTACATTTAATAAGTGCTCCAGTTGGGATATGGACCAAAGAACGGATGGTAAGAATAAAGGCCCTGTGAAAAGGTGCGAGAAGACCGGCTGGAACCTTTGGGGCTCTGCAGGTAAATTGACCAAGGCTAAGGCCGAGCATGCTCCGTGGAGCGGCCCTCCCCATCACGCGCGCGCACCTGGTATCCACTAGGGGAAACGTAGAGACAAAAGAAAAGGTACTTTCCTACCTTCCAAAAACTCGTTCTCACTGATTTTTAAAAAAATATGTAAAAGTGCAAAAACTGGTAGAATGAGCCATAGAATAAATTCATCACCCAGCTGAACCGACCAGAGTAACCTTAAATACTTTATTATTATTATTATTATTATTATTTTAATTAAAACAGGCATCATTTTTGCTCCTAAAGGCAGGAGACCCCCGGGAGGATTTTCATGACCCCCTGAGGGCTTGGGACCGCCGGCTCTTGGGTTCACTGACCTGGTTCAATCCTCCCTTTGTACGAGGGAATGCTATCTGCTCGCATTCTCTCTGGCTGTTTCTCATGCTCGCAGCGAATTAAGTGGACTCTGTCTATGATTTCAGCCACGGTGACATATAATCCCAGTGTTAAAGGATGGAATTTTCCAAGGCAAGAAGCAGCAGAAAGCCCTGAGCAAAGGCTTCCCGACACAGGACCTCGGGCTGCGCCACCCAGCAGCCCCGCGTTTGCATGAGAAGAGAAAAAAAGGGTCGGACAATGGAGTGATTGTTCTCGCTCCACAAGCAAATCTTCTATTTCTAACCCCGTGGTGGTGGCTGGGCTGGCAACCAGCAGACTCTCCCCGAGGTCTTCCTATAGCAGCCCAGAGGAAAGGGGGGAGCGCTGGGCGTTTTCCAAGAGACCCAGATTGGGGGGGCGGGGACCCCACCACTGTAGCCACCAGCAAGTTATCTCACAAAACAAAGAGCGAGGTGAGCAGGCCAGCCACTGGATTTGTCCCATTGGTTCATAAAGGACCCAGAGCCAGCGTCGTGGATCAGCTTTTTGCCTTTTATCCAAGGATTGCCTACTACTCTAGAAAAACAAGGGAGCCCTGCCAAGAATCTGCAGTCCCCTACATCTCAAAATAATGACTAGCCTATTCAGTGCTCCCCTCCAAGGAATTGTTGGTTCCTACACAAGAAAACCCTTTGGGGTAGGAGTAGGGAGTCCAAGAAAGGCATGTGATTATTTTTGCCACTTACTGGCCCTTGGCCCCACTTTGGAAAGAAAGGGAAATCTATTTTTGACATCAGCTGTTCAGCTTGCAAATAAAATCAGCCTGTACAGCCTTATCTAATTGAAATGTTGATTCCAAATTCTACTTTTCTAGCGCTCCCAGCACACACGCACACTCTCAAGCTCCCTGTTCTATTTCTTTGCCATCTATGAGCTAGAGTATTGGGAGAGGTTAAGGAATTAATGCCCTCCCTGATTTCCAGATGACAACTTCCAACTTTTTTGAAAAAATAATCAACAGGAGTGATCGGGTGAAAATTTTGATTGCTTGATCCAGATAAAAGCACTTCTGATACTGGCTGTGGCATTCAAGAGAATCGGTCCTTAAAGAGGGAAGGGTGTGCTCATGAGACGCGAGAGAAAATGAAATGAAAAGTGTTGTTTAAGGACAAAAGAAAGGAGTCACACAGTAGCCTTAAAATATGATAGTAGGTATTTGAGTCGTGTATGCATCCACCCTGAGACTGAACAGCAGAGATCAAGCATGAGGTCCGCGGCAGCCTTGGGAAAACTAACACAAGTCCAAGTTCTGCTGGACTTGTGATGGGGTTACGTCCTCATAAATGAAATTTATCATAAGAAGAAAATGCATTTCATACACCTAACCTGGCTCAGAGGCAAGTCCACATGAATCTTGGGCCAACAGTGGAGCAAAATCATGGGACACAAAGCCCATTTATACTCAAGCCTTGAATATCTCACATCATTTATTTACTACTGCACTGAATGTGGGAAATGGAATGCTTGGATGGGTGTCACCATTGTTGTGCTCAGTGGAAGGCACCCTGGGACCGAGGAATGTTTGAAACCTTGAACTAAAAGTAATTGCTGGATGAAGAGGATGCTTCAGTGGCAGGTCATCCATTTGACTGGGAGCCGTGGGCACACTGCCATCGCCCAGTGTTGTGAGAGAGTATCTAGTGCGCATCACTAGCCTGGGAAAAAGATCACAATTCAAAATTTGAAGCATGATTTATACTGAATGTATATCACTTTTATACCATCATGAAGTCCAAAAATCCTAAGGCAAGCCACGTCGTAAGTCAAGGACCCTTTGCCTTGTAATGTCACTGGCAACCTGATCACCACATTTGCATACAGACTAGAAAATAACTTCTCATGGTAGCAACTTGCATGAAGGGAAAACCAAGAACATGCAGTTCATTGTTTTAAAGAGGAAAAATATATGTTTCTAATAGCTGCAAGACTTCAGCTTGTCTTTTAGTTTAAAAAAAAAAAAACCAGAAAGGTACAGTTTTACCAAAATAAATCCTAACATGAAAGTTGCTCTTGCCTTTAATTTATTTCAAAGGCAAAGAAAATTACTCTTCTTTAGAGCCTCTGATTGGTATTGTCCATCCAAAGTAAAATAAAATTACAAAACAAACCAGCTTTCCAAGCCTCCTGAGCATGCTTTACCAACCACCCACTTTGCCCAGAGAAGGTTTTGGTGGATTCCATTTATGCCACCACCTTAACTTACCTAACTATCTACCTATGTCTATGTCTAGACCATCTGTATCTCTGTCTATGTCTGTATATAGATTTGTGTGGAGGATTGAATCCAGGGGCATGCTGTCACAGAGCTACATCTCCATCCCTTTTAAATGTTTGAGACCGTGTCTCCTTAAGTTGCTTCAGGCTGGCCTTGAACTCGCAATCCTCGGGCCTCCATTTCTTGAGCAGCTATAATTACAGGCATGTGCTGTACTCTTTTCAGGCTGTTGCGTACAGAACTTCTCACCCCTTGGAGCTACCTTGACCTATCATTGTAGCCCACAAAGGACTCTTAGTAGGAGTTTAATCAGTGTTGTCGAATGACTGAATACCTTAAGGATTCATTATAAGATTTTCATCATATCTATCGAATTACTTCAATTTATGAAAATAAGAGAGATGAAAGAAAATAAAAGTCACTGGTATCAAATTTCATCAGACATAGAAATAGTCATAAAATATTAATTTGTATTTGTGGGTTTTTTTTTTTTAATTTTTACTGTCATAAAATATCAAACTAAAAAGAAACCAAGTTGAGACTCCCACATGGTGGCCAACGGTGCCAGGAAGCCTGGGACTATCTGTTTTAGGACTGAAAGTGCACCATCCTGGGAAACCCCTTGGTCCTGGGCAAACCTTGGGACAGTTGATCCCTCCTCAAGCTCTCACTGACTCTGACACCAAAATCCAAATGTTGACTTAGTTGGAAATCAGCCAGATTTAAGAAGGCCTGTCACCAATGTGTGTGTACATCATGTACCTGCCCCACCATGAGGCTCCAGCTCAGCCTCCTGTTTAGTTCCTTCATTGTACTTAGAATAGCACGATCGTTCTTCTAATTATTCATTTACTGTGTCTCCTCCCGACCGTGTGAGCTCCCTGTGGGCAGAAGAATCATCCAGCTTGTTTACCACCATAGCCTCCGAACATTCCCCAGCAAGCAGGATGTTCAAGAAACATGTTCAAAGTGCAAAACACCCTCCCTAATTATGGAATCCAACAGAACCACTGCATTTCCACTGGTCCTAAGATGCATAGTTTTTCACAGCCTAACATCTCTGAAGTTGAGATTCATCTTAATCAACAGTGCCTTTCAAAAGCCATCAGCCGCCAGGCAGGGCCGTGCAAGTTTGTAATCCTAGCTATTGGGGAGGCTGAGGCAGGAGGGTGGCCAAGACGAGGCCACCTTGGCAATTGAGTGAGACCCTGTCTCAAAATTTAAAAAATATGAAAGGACTGGGGCTGGGCTCAGTGGTAGAGCACCCCTGGGTTAAATCCCCGGTATAGAAAAAAATTAAAAATCCATCACCAACGGGCAGTCCTGACATTATTGCCCTGGCATTCCTAAGTATAGCCCCTGGGTTATAACAATTTATAGCAATTGACATCATTATTGCTTCAGTTGAGATATATACATTTGTGAGTTTAATGTGAGCATTGAACTGCTATTTAGAAATGTCCTCCAAAAGATTTTGCTATGATTCAGCATTGAAATGACAAGCTATTTTGTACTTGGACACAGACGCCAAGAAACAGGATGTAAATGTGGTATTAATGAAGAATGTTGTCACAGAAGGATGGTCATGAGTCCATGTTTTCTTGCAAAGAACGACCAAGTGCGTTGTTAGGAACCTGGAAAAGGAAGGTGCCCATGAGCTGAGCAAGCTGTGTCACTTTCTGTTATTGAGACATCTGTGCATTGCCAAACTCCCCAGAAGAGAGAAAGATTAATTTAAAAGGAATCTGATGTGATTGATTCAGATGCCATTCAAGATTGTCATTAAAGTCATTCATCAGAGTCTATTGGGAGTGTTTTTTATTTATTTATTTATTTTTTTTTTGGTCTTATCAATGTATAAAATAATGGTTGGTCTTACCATCAAGGACTTCTTAGACTGGGCTTGACCTAAGGCATTAGCCCCTCCCAATCTTTTATTTAGCTCTATGAAACAGACCCCCCAGAGACCATCAGAAAAGATCACTGGCACATGGCAGGGTCAGGAGAGTGTAGCAACTCATTCCGTCTGTACAACTCTTCCAGGACCTTCTGGTGACTAGTTTCTGTGGGGCCCATTTGAGGGAATCTTGTTATTATCTCAGCATTGCCCCGACTAACTCCTGTCCTACAGAGCCTGATAAATCTCAAACTCTAAACAATGACAGTTATCTACCACTTTTGGTGACAATAAGCATTTACTTATGGACTTGCATATTTCATTGTATTCCCTACTCAGGACAGAAACTGGAGAAGTACTCAGAAACAGTGCAGGTACAGCAACCCAAGGCAAAACTTGGTCAGTGTCCCAAGCAGAAAAATACAGTTAAGAGAGTCATCAGAGGAAGTCCAGCTAATAATTACCAACGGTGACTGCCTGTTAAACAAATGCACCTGTCTTTCTTTGAATCTCCCAATGCACTGTTTAATGCTTAAACCATTTGATAGTTTGTCCATTCACCAAATAATTGAGCATGTATTATGTGCCAAGCCACTCTACCTAGAGGATGAACAAAATGGACACATTTTTCTACACAGCATATGTGCTACATCAGGGTTTTAACCCAGGATCCGTAGATTCTCCTCCAAAGTGGTCAATAATTAAAACTTGGGGGTCCTGAATTTGGGGAAAAGATTACAGCACTAGTCTTTGCTAGCTTCTCACTCTTGGAAATAACTGATCTGTTCTCTCACTGAGTTTCATCAAGAATTTCACGTAAGTTGAATCATACGGTACTGCCGAACTTTCGAGACCCGGCTTCTTTCACTCAGCATATCTTTAGGATTTATCAAAGTCAATAGTTCTGTCCTTTTCATTGCTGACGGTGGTGTATTGCATGGTAGGAATGTGTCACAGTTTGTCTACCCATTTGCCCACTGAAGGACATTTGGGTTGTTTCCTGTTACTAGTGATCACGAGCAGAGCCACTATAAACACTCACGCAGACTTCTGTGACCATGAATGATCCGTTCACTTGGGATTGCTGGGTCATGTGTTAAGTGTGTGCTTAGTTTTAGAAGAAACTGCCAAGTGGTTTTTTTTCAGAGTGACTGTGCACTTTTCCATTCCTGATGGTGATGTATCAGAGTTCACATAATTGCTTTGCATTATTGGGAGTTCTCAGGATTGTCAGCACTTTTTATTTTTACCATTCTAACAGGCGTGTGGCTATATTTCATCAGGATTTTAATTTGGATTTCCCTGATGGTCGATTATGTTAAATGTCTTTTTGTATGCTTCTGTATTGCTGGGTATTTGCTAATATTTTGCTAATGTTTTTGCAACATGTTCATGAGAGATATTATTCAGTACTTTTATCGCACCATCTTGGTCTGGCTCTGGTATCAGGGTAAGTTGACCATGTAAAATAATTTACGAAGTGTTCCCTCCTTTTTATTTTCTGGAAGAAAACACAATAAATTATGCAGAATTCATTGCATTTCTTCTTAAAATATTTGGTAGTATATGCTCATATGTTAGAATATTTGTGCCTGGAGATTGCTTTTAATTGAGGATTTAAACTACAAATTCAACTTTAAAATAGCAATAGTTATCGACATGCTTTTTGGGTGACTTTGGTAACTTGTTACAGAATTTTTCCATTTTATCTAAATTGTTAAATTTATAATCAGAGTCTGTAGTAATGGCCTCTTTTCCATTGCTCATGTTGGTAATTGTGGTTTTTTCCTCTCTGCCAGTCATTTTATAAGTTCATCAATTTTATTGAGCTCATTGACTTTCTATATTGTTTTAAAATTGTTTTCAGTTTCATTGATTTATGCTTTTATTTTTTGATTTCTTTTAGTTGTAGATAGGCACAATACCTTCATTTATTTATTTATTTATTTATTTATTTAATGTAGTGCTGAGGATTGAACCCAGGGCCTCATACGTGGGAGGCAAGTACTCTGCCACTGAGCCCCAGCCCAAACCCTTGTGCTTTAATTTTTTATTATTCTCTTTCCTTCTTGTTTTGGTTTTATTTTGCTCTTCTTTTTCTAGTTTCTTAAGGCAGCCACTTAGATTGTTAGTTTGGAACTTTTCTCTTTTCCAATTTGAATGCTTTAATGGTATAAATTTTCCTCTAAGCACTGCTATAGCTGCATCCCACAAGTTTTGATTTATTGTGTTTCATATTCATTCAGTTCACATTTCTATGAGAATTCCTTTTTGACCTTTGAAGTATTTACAAGTTTAACTGTGCTGATTAATTTCCAAAAGTATAGAGATTTTCTTATTCTGTATTGATGTCTAGTCCAATTGCATTATGACCAGAGAAGATACTTGGTATGATTTTTAGTCTTTAAATTTGTTAAAAATTGTTTTATGACCTAGGATATGGTCTATCTGGGTGAAAATGGCACGTGAACTTGAGAGAAAGTGTATTCTGTTGCTGTTCAGTGGCTTGTTCTGTAAATGTTAGTCAGAACCAGCTGTTTACAGTGTTGCTTGGTTTTCTGCAGTGTGCCCTTGCTGATTGCCTGCTAAATTCTGTTGATCACTGACAGGAATGTTGGTGCCTCCATCTCTCTGAGGGTGG